TACCATTTTCTATTTTTGTTGCTCCTAATATCTCATTTCGAGCATCTGCAGACAGATAATTGTCCCACCATCCTTTAAGGATACCAGTAAAGCCACAAGTTATAAAAGAGGCTATCATACGTTCATTATTACCATTTTGTTTGCAAATGGTACCATACATTAGCATTCTATGTATAGTAGAATTGATTTGGGTATCTGATAACCCATCTATATTCCATTCGTAGATATTTCTACCATTATAATCAGCCTGTAGATATGCATCATTTTCTTCAAAAAGAACATCTGCTGGAGTTGGTCTTTTATAATAATACCTTTCCAGTCTTTTCTTTGGATGACCTTTAATCTTATTAATTTCTGTAAAATTATTTTCTACAGCCAAAATTTCTGTTGAATAGTATAATTGTATCGCAATAGTTTCGGATCCAGGAATATAATTGTATCCGTGTGTCTTTATATTAAGACTAATAGCCTCTAAAATATTTGGATCTGTTAATGAGAGGCTCAAATTTGGATATACATTAAAATAAACTGGACCGTTACATAAACTGGTCTCCATAATACCCATTAAAGATTGGGTCCAATTCAAACATCGTGAGTCTCTTAAACAGACTAGTAAAGAGGCGTTTAAGCCTGATAACGTCAAAGGACGAAATGCAATCTGTATAAGACCTACATGCAAATATTTGTATTTATCCATATAAGGATTTACATCTGCAACTCCTAAGAGTTGTATTGTTTGATCTTCTCTGTCGACTGTAGTAGTCCTTTCTAGAGTTTTAATATTAATCAACGACTTATAGTCGAGAAATCCAATTTTGTATATTTCCCTATTAGGGATATCAGGTATAGTCCACTTATTAAGGGACTCTATATCAGTTTCATATTCTGTTAATTGAGCGTTTTTGACCTTCTTTAGTCCAGTATAACTGGACGGTCGAGCCGAAGTCTCCACAATATCTGACATAAAATTCTCTTGTTACAGATTTATCTCTTAAATATTAATCCAGTAAGGAGGTAGACTATTTATTTTTCTTTTGATTCTCTCTAAAACAATCTAGCTGAAAGCTTACACGTCTGTCAACGTCTTACACTACCCTAACCAGCCATCTCGGCAACACTGGGATTTACACAGCGCGACTTGGGTGACGTCCCATAAGCATGCAAACTAGACTCTTAAAAAGAGAATTAAAAGAACATATAAATATTCTACATTCTTACTAGCTAATATTCAAAAGATAAACTGTAACAGAGATTTAAGCAGACATGCAGATAATAAACATGGCTCTGATACCAAAGTTAAAGCAGGAAATAAAAAGCGAAAAACTTACAATTTACGCCCGCCAATAGATAAGATTATATCATCTTTATTATGATCCACAATAATTTACAAGAGAGGATATATTACAAGAGATCACTCAGAAATCACTCAAAGAACACTCAGAATTTTTATTTCTTACTTAAACAACCACACCCCCTGCCTTCTCCCTTCTGCCTTATTTATAGACGCTTGAGGAATCTTTAAAGTCGTCATCATTATTTCTCGAAGCTTCACAGAAGTGTCGCACTAACTTTGAAAACGACCCGCATATATCACAGTAAATAAAGTGGCCACATTAATTTCAAAGTAGGAAAGCGACCCGCATAATAGACAGTAGCCGCACTAATTAGCACAGTAAAAGGTGATGGCGACATTTAGAATAGTAAGATTCTTCCTTTAAGGAAAGTAGCTTTTAAAAGCTGCTTTATAAAGCTGCTTTTTGGAAAGAGATGCTAGACGGCTCCCCGAGGCTCAATCTAGTATTTTGTCTGCTTATAAAGCTGGGCTTTTACCTTTAAGGTCTGGAGGGTTATTAAAAATTTCTGCCCAGATTTATTCAGGGTCCTGAGCATCTTGAATATGATCCAGGTCGGGTGGATTATTGAATATTTCTGCCCAGATGTCTTCAGGGTCCTGAGCATCTTGAATCTGATCCAGACTAGGTGTATCTTCTTCCATAGAAGAAGCATGACTATTAGTCTCTGGTTCGTCAAAAGCTTCAAAGAACTGCCTTTTAAAATATTCTAAGCACTTCTGCTTAATTTCGGCTTCAGAGCTTTGAGGATATTTTCGCCTTATTAAGGCTGCCATTTTAGTCATAGGATTATCTTTTTTAACTTCTTGAGTCATATTTGACTCTAACAGAGTTTTATTTCTCTGGATAATTTCCTCTAATTCTTTAACTTTGGTCTCGAGACAGATCCCATTCCACCATCTGCATTGGTATGTTCTTTTAAGAATAGGAATATGTGATGGGGTCCAGTCACATATAAGCGACCAATTCCAAATCCAAGGAATTTCTACTTCTGCAAAGAAGTGTGCAAAGCACATGCCATCTATGAGCTGGCTTTCATCCATTCTTGATAATTTTGGATGACTGTCGACCCATGAAGAATATAACTTCAGAAGGGGTTCGGGAATAATTGCAATTTCAATTCCATATGTTTCCCACCATTTATAAAACCAATTAGGAACACCCTTTTGAAGGGCTTCAGGACATAGCTTGATAAGCCATGTATGCTTTTGTTTTGGGTTCTGGTATAAGAACAGATCAAAGAAAGCTTGTTTATAGTCCCAATAGTTGAATTTGTAAACTTCTTTTGTAGCTTGAACTCTTACCAACGGTAATTCTTCATTGGGGTTTATAGCCCAATTGCGAGGAAGTATAACTTCTCTGATAACACATTTGCTAAATCCAGGAGGAACAGAATGATTTTCTGTAGTCCAAAAATGGGTTATTTCCATTCCTTTTTGACTTAATAAAGTCCTTATCCAAGCTCTTGATTTTAAAGAAAGAGTAGGATAGTAAGTGTCGTGAAGATATCTTTGCCGAATTGTTTCTGGTTCTTGCATTAAAGCAATATCTTCGGGTTCTAAATATAGAACTATATCTGTATGAGATTTTTCGAACCATTTAGTTTCCTCTTTTACTATATTAGTAAAAGGTTCAGGAGTATTTTCCTGATCTACGATATCTCGTACACCTTTATAAAAGGTTTTAGTATGAGAAGAGTTATGCTTCTTTGCAATAGTTCGCCAAGATGTTGGCTGTTGAGATGGAGTATGACTCCTATTTGGTATTTCTTCTTGACCTATGAGGTCAAAAGTAGAATTTGAGCTGCTGTTTCCGCCTCCTCAATTTTATATTAATAATAAAATAATATTATTATAAAAATATTAATAAAATATATAACAATAACAAATTGATATACCAAAATAATTAAATATATAATTATTTGAAAATAATAAGTAATAATTCTAATATAATAATATCACAATATTATAATATATTATACAATATTATATTGTATTATATTTAATTCTAATATAATAATATCACAATATTATAATATATTATACAATATTATATTGTATTATATTTAATACTTATAATACTATAATAATGTAAGCTAAATATTATAACATTTTATTAGGATATATTTTATTATAATTAATATATAATATATTAATAGTATATTTAATACTAATGTTGTAATGAGTCAAACTAGTGTTTGACCAAAAATACTTACCATGATGTTTTTACAACATTTCAAGGAAAAAACACAGCACCATAATGTTTTTTTATAAAAACAAAATAAGAAAAACATCATGGTATCCAAACGAAACCTTATATTCTCGTGAAAAGTTGTTTTAGAAAATTTCTCTTGTGATGTTCATCTCCAAGAGATTCTATGAGAAAGCATCCAAAATCCTTTCCTAATTCTTTAATGAAATCCCCACCGTCCCATATAAATATATCAATAAAATAAAATTGTGTAACTATGAAGAAACAAAACAAACCGGCCTACTAAGTTCAACGGGTCAACTGCTAAAAAAAACCCAAATCCGAAACAAAATCCTAATATTTCCCCTATATTTCACTGAAGGGCACTCTCGTAAATACGCCAGCAGGTCCATCCGACACACTTCTTCGGTTCTTCCCACTTTCCAGCCGTCCGATCTCCCATGCAGACAGATCAACGGCTGACATCAGCTGAACCATAGATTAATACTGTGTTTTATCTGATTTATTTTGGGCCACCACTTCCAAATTTGTTCATAAAAAGAATACTACCCTAATTTATGTTTTAAGCTTTTCCGATATTAGTCCTTCAATCTTTGATATGATGAATTAGTCCCTCAAATCATTAAAATTGATATCAGCTCTTCCAAGTCTTTTGTGTTGGTTCAAACTAGTCTCTTCATCACATTTTATGTCCAATTTGCAAAACATGGCTGGGTTAGAGATTACTGTGAACTGTTAGTTACTAATTTACCCTCATTAAATGCATATCTAACAATGAAGAGAAGGTCGATGTAGAATGAGTTAGGGTGACGAACTAATCATTAGGAAAGAAATAATTTTTATGGGTATGACAAAGCTCACTTTAATACTATATAAATCATATCAGAACTTCCTGCATAATTTAAATGGGTGGGGTGTGTAAAATATGTAACTCATATTCCATGTCAAAAGCTAACTTAAAAGGAATATTCCCTGAATCAAACTCTAACAAACTAGAGTAACTAATTTGAAAAAATCCGTAAAATTTTGAGATTTGATAAGAAATTTTAGTGATTTGAGAGACTAAGTTGAAACTACTAAAATTTAGGGGTCAATATAAATTCATTATGTTTAACCTAGTTTCTATATTTCATCAATAAGTTTTGCTATATTCAATCGCTATGTTTTTTGTCTAAGTTACTACACTCTGATATAAATTGCTATATTTTGAGGTAAGCTATACATTTTTAAATATCCTATGCAAAGTTGCTGAAACACAGCAGCTGGGTTTAAAAAATAACTCAATATGATATTTCGTGTTTAAATCAAGATTTTAAAAGTTGGTGGGCTTAGAAATAAATCGGCATAAACTTTGGGTTTTGAAGTAACAACAGGAAAGGGAGCTTTTTTATTTTAATTTTGTCAGAGATCATTGAGCTCTATTTTGTCCCCTCTCTCTTCTTCTCTCTTCCCCCGGTCTCTCTCTCCTCTTTCCGAAGAGAGAGAAATTAATAATTTGAGCGGGGGGAGAGAGAGAGAGAGAGAGAGAGAAGGGAGAGGGTTTTTTCCCCCTCTCATTACCAGGAAAAAAAGGGGGGAAAAATTAGGGTTCAGAAATTTGAAGAGGAGAGAAAATGATTGTGATGCGGCGTCTCAAGAGCATTGCCTCTGGCCGATCCTCGATCTCAGATCCGGTAAGCTCCACTCGCATTTCTCTTTGTCCTCTGATTACTGGTTCTCGTGATCGGATGCAGTAGGAAAAGGGAATAAATGATTAATATTTGAAGATAAATTATTAATGTTAGGCTAGTGGATTTTTCTTACCATTTTGGTTATATATTTATTGGTAAAGTATTTATGGGAATATGTTATAAGGGTTAGATTTGCTGATTTGGGATTTATTACAATGTTATTGGGGTGATGGGCATTTCTTCCGGAAAAGGAAATAATGACGAATATGCATTGTTGACATGTTCATTTTATTTCCAAACTAATCCTAAAGTAATTGTGGATACACCTACAAATGATCAAAGCTACTGTCTTTTGCTCTTGCGAATATTTGATGAAGTAACATTAAAGATACTGTAGATGAGGTGTGAACATCATTGGTGTAGTTTTATTGTGCTTGTTGGTGCTGGCTTTGAGCTGACTTAAGGACATTAGAGCTTCACTCATGCTCTTATAGGAGGAGGTGAGTGGATCTGAGTATTTGTTGGTCTACAGAATTTTGAGGCTGAAAGGTTAGCTTCCATCACTCAGGAATGTTTAGTTCTGTCTAGAAAATGAATGGCCACTTCATGTTAAAAGAATGTGTATAGATCTTGACTATCGAAAGTTGTAAGAAGAAAGATTTTAAAAAGCGCAAAAAAGCCCCGCTTAGGCAGATTTTGAAGCAGAAGCGGCCATAGGCCGCTTCACTTTTGACGTGTTTGGTTATAAGCGTTATTGACGCTATTTACTCGAAAAAGCATGTAAAAGCACTTTAAAGCGCTTTTCCAGCGCTTTAACAGAAGTGCATTTTGGGCGTTTCGGCTGCATTTTTGTACCTAGTCCGAAAACCCAAAACCAACCTGTTCATATGACTTAAATCCACCTTTCTTTTTCTCTTGCCTCTGCGATTCTCTTGTTTACTGTCGAAAAAAAAACCTAGTGCCCCCAAATCACACCTCCTCCGCCCACCGCCTTGATAAATCTTAGTTCTTCCACCGCAACTATTGACCATAGTCCCTAGCAGTTCCTCGACAAAGCTCCAAAAACTTCTTCCTCCATCACCTTCAGCTCTTGACTAGAACAGCTCCTTTACGAAGCTCTTCCCCCATCTATTCCCCAACTACATCCCTCTTCACTGCCTCCGGCAGCTCCTCGATGAAGTTCCTCCATGGTCAGTTCCCTCAACTGATCTACTTTTTTACTTAGCGCTTTTTTCCTCTTTGAACTACTTAAACCCTAAAAAGCCTAAGCGGTGCCTCACCGCTTTGCTCTGCTTTGCTCTTTCCAGGACCTTGGCAATAAGCTATGAGATATATAGAGAGTGGAGCAGAGACTATATAAAAAAGAAAAAAAAGAGTTCTGTTTAAAAGTATAGCTTTTAAGTTTTAACGCCCCTAAATCTGACTTGCAGCGGATAATAAACCGAAGTCCTTGAGCAAAAAATAGAACAATGACAAAGAATACAAGAAGATGGAGAAATGACCAAATATGCTGAGAAAATTTTAAGTTGATAATAGTGTAGGAAAATGCTCGTTTACCCAATGCAATTGCATGTTCATACATGGGATAGATATTCTTGTTTCTGTAAGGCCAGGAATCTTATGCAACATGTCATGTTGTAAAAGTAAGGTTAGGAATGAGACAGACAACATATAAATTAATATGTACTGGGTATGGAATGTCATACCAAGGTAAGGTTTTAAATGTCAGGTTTAACTATTTAAGCTTTAAATTAGGGTTGATTGCGATCATGATTAAATTATGCTTATGATAAGGGTTAGGATGTATGACTGAGAATAGAATTAGGACTACTAGTTAGGGGCCACCATTTTCGCTTCGAACTAGAATGAAAATAGTTAACATTTGGGTTGTGATTAAGAATGGTTGAGGTTAAGTAATGATAAAATGCTTTCCGGATAACCTACACAAATCATAAGGGATCAGATACATTGCTTCTCTCTTGCATCTTATGCAATTCTATTCACAATGCCCCACAGACACATTTTTTAAAATTATATGCTAACCTTAGCTACCCTTGCTCCTAATTCTAAAGCCTAAAATATAACCCTAAAAGCCGACTTCTGCACAGAATTATGACACAGTTTTGTTTAAAACCTAGAAGACTCCTAAACCTTAACCTTAATCTAATAACGATAATTCCAAAGTCGAAAAGGTGAAACATAGAGACTAATTCAAACACAACAATAATTCTGAACTCAAAACAATAAACTGTAGGCATTCCCAATTTTAGCATTAATCCTATTTTTAACTCTTTAATCCTCATCCTAAAGCTCAAAATGATAAGCCTCAAACTCTTAACACTAATTCTAGTTGTATCCTAAATCCTAAATAATCTTGTTTTTAAAGTTAATAGTAACGTTAAAACTTTTCGTAAATTTTCTTTTTTACCAACAATATCACTTTATTTATTATCTGCATCCGTATGGAATGTGGCCAATTGTAGATTTGTAATCTGACAGGAAGCCACATATTCTCTTTTTTACATTGCATCATGATTTGTAGAGAATCACTTCTTAGAAATCTCATACATAATAAAGGAGTTTTAAATCTTAACTAAGGATGTTTATTTCGTGTCACTATAAGAACTTATTGCCTAGATACAAAGTACTAGATCCTTAGTCTTTCTTTAAAAGAAATATTTTCAAATTAAACGCAGATACCTTTAAAGAGGCACTTTGATTTATAATTCATAAAAATTTTAGATAGTCCTTCAAATTAGAAATTCACAAAGCTGTTTGTAAAAATACGATCACGCTGAAATTAATTACATATCTGTGGATTAGAGGTAAACCAAACAACTCAATTTCTTAAAAGTGGGCTGAATTTACTTGACCAAAGTCCTTGCAGCTTGATACAATCATTTGACTCTTTAATTAGCATGAGCCATCACATATTTCGTACGGAGTGTATATCATAAACATATGATATTAAAATTACTGGAGTGGCTTGCATTGTTTAAATATCCTTGATGTATAGGCAGATATATTCTTTTATAAGGTTTGCTGCAAATGATATGATCTCAATATCTTTTACCGCTTTTTGCCTATTTTGGAACTATATATCAAGAATTTTCTCAATGTATCTGGTGAAATTTTGTCCTCCATAAATCTGCTGCAATGTTGCAATGTCAATTGAACTTTTATTTGTTTTAAAAGATTGGTTTAGCCCTATGGTTCAGTTGAGGTTTAAACCCAAATAAATATCTGCTTATGTAAATAACCATGAAGAAGAATTAGAGCTCACTTTATACCAAATTCTTTGGTAAAAGTTTTCAAAAGATGCTATATTTTTCCACAGCTCCATTACTTGGTGCATCTAATATTAACATCTATGATATGTGTATTGACATTATGACACTCCGATATTTATTAAATATCTCTAATATATCCTGGTATCCGCTTTCCATGTGGAATTTTTCTGTGCGACATATCCCAACATCCGATATTTAAAACACTGGTGGCATGCTGCATGAACAAGCTTGCCTGAGTGTTATATGGAACATAAGTTGGTCTCATTGTGAGTGTACTTTCTGTGACCCATTTCTTCATGCACCTGCTTTTTCCTTGGGAGCCATATTGGCACAATGCTTTTCTCATTGGTTTATGGGATCTTATGGTTACTGAGAATTCTGGCAGTCACCTTATTCAAGAAGCTGGTAGTTGAACAAAACATTATGGATGGATGAGATTATGGAGGAAATATGATTGGTAATAGAACTGTTCTTTGGAAGTACATTTTTATTATCAGATTACATTGAGCTTTTAATGGAAATGGAAGCTCAATAAGAACATATATTGTGTAGAGCTGTTGATCACGACACCCAGTAACTAGGCACTTGGTCAGGTGTTTTCACTGATTTTACCTTTTCAATTTTGGATAGCATCTTTTTGGCCTTGGGGATTAGCTTTTCTTGTATGACTAGAAACATCTAATGGAGAATATTGTATTTCTGGATTTGGTGCAACTATAAAGTTGATATGCTGTTGGCTGTTGACGAATAATTTTTTATCCTGGCAAGTAATCTCTTATGTCAACTCACAAAACTTGACATTCCTCATTCCCGTTTTCAAACATGATGCAACTGGTGGTCCTGAGTCAGATAATCCATTTGTATATGGAAAAAAGGTTGCTTGTTGTATAAGGTGTCCATATTAGTATTTAGTGCCACATATAGAAAAAATAGGCTAGGGAATTTGCTGGAGAAGCAGGTTTCGACTCATGTCTGCTCCAGTGTAGACCGTAGATGATTTGAGTAATTTCGTTTGATTTGAGTATAATCAATGGAGAAGATCTGTTTTTTTTTTACTTTGACTTTGCTTTGGATTTTTCATGATTACATCAGGATGGGGATTTTGGGAGCAAAAGGGCAAAAGTAGAACAGGATGCGGGCGGCGAAGTTCCTGCAGAACCTGATACTGAAGATAAAGCTATGGATGAAGATCTTCATACAGCATCTACTCATCTGGATACTCATGCAAGCACATCAAGTGTAGATCCTACTGGTAGAACTGAAGAGGGAGGCGTTGACCAGCTTCCAAAGGAAATGCATGAAATGTCGATTGCAGATGATAAAGCTCATGATCAAAATGATAAGGTCTATCATGCGTCTGTAGTTTTATATGTTCCTTTATTTCATATATATGCGGTCCACAGTGACATATGCTATTACAATCTGAATGAGTGATAATGGCTAGTGCAGGTAGTAGAAACAACAGTACTGAAAGGAAATGGAACCGAGACAGGTCAGGTTATTGCAACTACAATAGGTGGACGAAATGGCCAGCCAAAACAGGTGATTTTATCTCCTCAAGTTCCGGCAGCGATGCTTGTATCTTACATATTTTAGTTGTCTTTTCCTGAGCTGGTCTTTAACACTCATGGCCAACATTTCCTTGTATGTGTAGAATTTGATGATGATATAGTGTAATGTTGAGGAATTTGAAGTGGCTGAATTCATCATGCTGACCTAAGTGGAAATAAGTGGTTTAGGTTTGTTTAGGAGAATTTCCTTTATAACATTTTCTCTGACAGGGTGGCCCTGATGCATTGGGCCGCCCCTTTTTTGAATAACTGTCTGTGAAGCATCTCCTTTATCCCCAAGTGAACCTGCAATCCTGCTTTCACTTATCTTCAGTTGCAGTTTAAATCCCTCTGAAGTCCTTTTTCATCTGCAAGGCACTTATAGATCTTAAGTGGAAATTTGGTGAATTTGAAGTGGCGTAGTCCATCATGCCAACCTAAGCGGAAATAAGTGGTTTAGGTTTATTTTTGATAATTTTGTTTGTAACATTTTCTGTGACATGGTGGCCCTCGTGCATCAGGCGCCCCTTTTTTTGACTGTCAGTGACGCATCTTCTTATTCCCAAATGTACCTGTAATCCTGCTTTCACTACCTTATCTTCAGTTGCAGTTTAAATCCCTCTGAAGTCTTTTTCCACCTGCAAGGCAGTTATAGATCTTAAGTACTATGAGATCTCTTGTGCAAGTCTTCCCTTAATAGTTAATCCTAAGATACTAAGTCTCCCTTAATAGTTAATCCTAAGATACTAAGTCTTAACCTACTCTACAGTAAACTTTTTGTTCAAAACTTTTGAACCCGTAAGAAATAACGGTAACAGAAACTTTTGAGTTTGATGTTCTTTTTCTTGTGGTTACCTCACATTGGTTTACAATTTCAGATTGGTACAACGCAGCGGGCTTCCACTCTCAGAATTCTAGTTAATTTCCATTACATATCGCAACTTAAAATAAGTTCAATGGATATTTTGAGTTTCAGCTTAATAAGTAATATTTGTTTGCCATTTGGATTTGCAGACAATCTCATATATGGCCGAGCGAATAGTCGGAAATGGTTCATTTGGTGTGGTCTTTCAGGTTTGCAGCAGCGGCTTTCTTTCTTTTTAGTACTCTACTACCTTTCTATGCTTATTATTGACTATGTTTTCACATTGCAGGCTAAGTGTCTGGAAACAGGGGAAGCAGTTGCTATTAAAAAGGTGCTGCAGGATAAGAGATATAAGAATAGGGAACTACATGTTATGCACTTGCTTGACCATCCTAATGTAGTTCAGTTGAAACACTATTTCTACTCCACCACTGACAAAAATGAGGTGTACCTGAACCTTGTTCTCGAATATGTTCCTGAGACTGTTCATCGTGTTGTAAAGTATTATAACCGGATGCATCAACATATGCCTCTCTTATCTGTGAAACTGTACACATACCAGGTGAACCATGAATTAGTGCAACAAGTTCTGCTTCTCTGCCGTCACTGATAACAATTATACGACTAGTTTCTTGTCCTTTTGGTGTCCTTTTCATGGACTACTCATTTTTATATTGTGTAGATATGCCGTGCTCTTGGTTATATTCATGGTGTTGTAGGGGTTTGCCATCGCGACATAAAGCCACAAAATCTTCTGGTAAGAGATATTGTCCAGGTTTTACTTGGTTTTTATCATAAGCTACTTTGGTCTGGAATTTCATTAATTTTGCAACCACTTAATGCACTTCAAATTGCATATAGTTTATTTATTGATCTCTTGATCCATTGAGATTAAAATGTGAATCATCTTTTTCATTCCATGCATTTTGGTAGCTAGGTATAACTAAGCTAGTTACAAGGTTATATGAAGTGCTAGATGGCCTAGGTGTCGAACCTGGTGCCTAGAGATTAGGCACCTAGGCGGGGCTTGTGCATTATTTTATTTTTTTATTTTCTGATTACAATCAATTTATTGAAAGCGCTAGGCACTACTAGGGCGTCTAGTGCCTACGAGGATTTTTTTTTTTTTTTTTTGGGGGGGGTTTTATTTTTTTATTTTCTGATTACAATCAATTTATTGAAAGCGCTAGGCACTACTAGGGCGTCTAGTGCCTACGAGGATTTTTTTTTTTTTTTTGTGGTGGCGAAGGAGGTTTTGTTGAGGGTTGGAGGATTAAGAGAAGATGTTCATAGTCGGTGGAGGAGGCTAGAGAAGTTCAAAAGATATTAGAGGACGTGGAGGAAGCAATAGAGGAAATCATGATAGTAACCTAGCGGTGTAGTCCACGTAAGCGGTCTTCGCTCCCATAGGCACTCTCACTATGTAGGTATCGACAATAAGAAACAATAATGTAATGTAGGGATAATAGAAAGGAAAAGCATGATAGCCAAGAAGCCTCAAAAGTGAAAGAAAGCATAAGAAGCAAGTTGAAAGAATTAACAAATACTTCTGGGGTAGCTAGTTGTGCCCTAGAATCCTCAAAATGCATGGAATGCAACAGATGATTCACAAAATTTTTTAAACATGGGGGAGGACCAAAAGAGTTAAAGGAGTTAGGGTTTAAAGGCCTTATTCGAGAGGAGTCATGGCTTAGGATGCTGGAGAGGTACTTGGGGATGAAGATGTGGTTATGGTTTTCTTTGTTGGCGAGAGGATATAGGGAAGCCGAGGAGAAACCAAAGAGGAGCTTTGTTGTTGGTGGAGATAGAGGACAGGAGTCTTGTCGTCGGTGAAGATAGAGGACGAGAGGAGCTTTGTTGTCAGTAAGAGGCTTCATTTTCATCGAAGGTGCAAGAGGGACTAGAGCTGGAGAGATTTTCTTCTTCATCGAAGGTGCGAGAGGGAGTAGAGATTGAGAGGTTTTCTTCTCAGTCAAAGGCGTGAGAGGAGGGGGGATGGGAGAAGCGTTGGAGATGGGGCAGGGGATCACTAGGGTTTTTCACGCGAATGAAATTAGGGTTGAGAGATTTAAGAACTTGTCGGGTTAGGATGATTCAGATTTGGAGGTGGTGATGGGGTTAGAGTTTTTTTTAACTTGATTTGGAAATGTAAAATATTATGAGTAGATACGAACATGGAGAAGTGGCAGATATCAAAGTAGCTGAGTAAGAGCAGAGATGATGCTTGTAGTGACAATTCCCCCGCCCTCCTCTTAGTGCCAAGATCTAGAGTTAAATATACTTTTTTGGGGATAGGATTTGGCTTTGTTACCTTGTTATGACGGAAAAAGTGACGTCTGCTTAGAAAAGTCAAGTTTTATTTATAATAGAGAAACTAGAATCTTGTTACATATTTTCCCAATAGGGAATTAAATCAAACTTCTCTAACTTTCCAAATATATTAACCACTGTTATAGTTAATCTTGAAATATATTTGCTAAATCATACTGCTAGTATTCATTTGCAGGTCAATCCTTATACTCATCAAGTAAAGATTTGTGATTTTGGAAGTGCCAAAATGTTGGTATGTGGCATCCTTCTCATTTCATTTTTTAAGGCTGCAATACTTTACATAGTGTTGAAATTGATTGGCTCAATTTCAGGTGCCAGGCGAGCCTAATATATCTTATATTTGCTCAAGATACTATAGGGCTCCTGAACTCATATTTGGGGCTACAGAATATACAATGGCAATAGATATGTGGTCTGCTGGTTGTGTTCTAGCTGAGCTTCTTTTAGGACAGGTAAACACTTGATTATTCTTGAGCTAAGACAAACTGCAAAAGCTGTCGAGCATATTGGTTGACTATTTGATGCTATGTTATTCATGTTTGAAAGACGAAAACTTGTACATTGGTAGCGCATGTGCTGAAATTTATATAGCTAAATTGTTTTATATTAAACCTTTCTTCTATTTGTTAATATGGATGATTTATTTCCTTTGATGATAGGAATTCGTAGAGGCAAACATATAATAGGGACGTCTAGAGTTTGGCTAACTGATAGGGGTGGAAAACAATCAAATCGAAGCGAATACTATAGTATTCAAATTTGAATTTGGTTTGCTCTAGCAAATTTGAATTTGAATTCATGTCGAATGGTGAGATGGCGTTCAAAATTGATTTGGTTCAATAGAAAAATATTCGGCATTTATCATGAATATTTGATAGCACACTTGGTTGTGACACTTGGCTCCTTGACTAGAGGTCTTGAGATTGAAATCCATGTTGGTCATTTTTTATATCCTTTTTTACATTTTGCTTAACTACTAATGATATATCACTGTTAAAACTATTATATTCTAATAGAATTAGAATTTATTTCTAATAGATATTTTGTTATAATATATGTGGATTGTTGGCTTGATAAATATCTCGAGTGCAACTTTATAGGGTAAATAATTTATAATAAATTTAGAGGAATAAAATGTAAAATATAAACGAATATTTAATAATCAATTGAATCCAATATACATCTAGTTAAATTCTATTCGTTTATGAACCAAATACGAAAAAATATTCGTTTATTGTTAAACGAACTATTGAATCGAATATGACCAAACATTTGGATGAATAATAACCAAATTGTTTATTAATTATTCGCTTCATTTGCACGCTACTAACTGATGGTCTTTGAGGTGTGATGTGGACATTATCAAATTAACTGATTTGACTTGGTTGAGTTCTTCCTTGTGTTTGAAAAGGAATCTTAGAACTCAAAGATAATGGGGTGGATTATAGAAGAGAAACAAGTGGCGGTAGTTATTTTATAGATAAGAAATGGTACTAGCTAGTGAAAGATCAACTTGAGGAGAAAAACAATCTATTCTATAGTGCATTAGCTCACTCCTAATATTTGTGTTGGGTTTTTTCCTCCTTGCATTGGATATGACTTGTGGACATTCATTTGTGCATGTTGTTTCTTAACATCATTATTTTAGTTAAGGAGATTGGAGAACACATTAATCTTAAGATAAGCCTGGGTTACTTTTCCTCCTTGCATTGAGTATGACTTGATAACTTACGCATGTTTCATTGTGCATGTTCTTTCTTAGCAATTTGTTTTAGTTGGGGAGATTGGAGACCACATTATTTTGAGATAAAAATGTGGATGAAAGGTGCAGAACACTAAATGCCTAAACTCTAAAGTTTATGGGATGAAGGTAGACTACTAAATGCAACTATAATAAGGCTGCAAGGAAAAATGACGCATTGTATGTCAAGAGCCTTGAAATAGCTAGCGGTATGCGTTATCTTTAATAAGTACCACTAATTCGATGATAGAGTGAGATGTTCATGTGTGGATTGGTTCAGGTTGGGCCAGTCCTCCTTCGTCCTGAGCTTGGAAATTTCAGTTTTATACAAACGCATATTTAAATGTTTGTTCAATATGAGATTTTCTTTGATTTGTGCCTTACCAACAATATCTTATTCATAAACTTTAGTCATCTTAAGCAATAATGTTCATCTTAAGCAAATTGGTTTAGATAATATAATGGAAGATGGTTAGATGAATGATATATTAGAGTTCACAATCTGTGTAGATAGTAGATATATAGTCATAAACATATATTAGAGTTCACAATCTGTGTAGATAGTAGATATATATGACTATATGAACTGACAAGCAAATTGGTTTTGATTGGTTAAATGAACTGAATCATGAAACCAGAAATCATGAAATCTTAGAAATATATGTTAAGCAGGTTTGAGACATGGGATCACATGAATAGTCGCCTTTGGTGCTAGTGAATAGCGAGTAAGAATGTGATGCCAATCGTCTCAATTTGCACAAAACGAGATGATCAAGAGTTGCAATCATAGACAATATTCAAAAACATCGCCTCAGTATGAGTTTAGATAAGTGTGTTGGGTATTGCACCTAAATCACTTTATGATCCACATACATGACCCACATCCACTGTGACCTGTGGTAAACTACAAGTGTGTTTGCTCCACTTTGATGAAAACACTGTTTGCAGAGTGAGGGATAATGTTCTAAGCATATGCTTGGCCATCATTGGGTAAAAATTTGTATGTTGATTGTATATATCTAGTGACTAGCGGTTTGTTATTTTCCTTTTTAGAACCCTTTTTCCTTAATATCTAAAAAGTGGTTCCTGTGCAGCCTATATTTCCTGGTGAGAGCGGTGTTGATCAGCTGGTGGAGATTATCAAGGTTTCTTTTGGATAATTTCCATCAATTTTAGCACTTTCTGTGTTCCCTTGATTGAATGATCTTACTGCAGAAATTCTTTTTTATTTTTCTATACTGGGGCTAATCCATGTTCTTGCTGCTTCTGCTATAAAGGTTTTAGGTACCCCAACCCGAGAAGAGATTAAGTGCATGAACCCAAATTACACGGAATTCAGATTTCCACAGATCAAAGCTCATCCATGGCACAAGGTGAGTAAATACATATGTAGAAATGTAACACATCTGTATTGGATGGCTGATTTGGTAGACTTGAAATTTCTTTGTAGCTTTTCCAAAAGAGGATGCCCCCAGAGGCAGTTGATCTTGTGTCACGATTGCTCCAGTATTCGCCAAAGTTACGTTGCACAGCAGTAAGAACTTTGACTCTACTTCTGAAAAGAATTTGCATGTGCCGAGTATATATAATATTTACTTTCAAGGGTTATTGTGGATAAACCGCCTGTAATATAGCCCAATGGCGGACAGACCCCTGTGGTTCTATTGGTGTGGATAGACCCCCTGCACTATAGCCCAAGTGCCGATGGACCCCCTGAGTGAATTCTGGTGCTCTTGCAAAACAAAAATACATACCAACGGACTCCCAAAAAAAACATGACCGCTAGCATCCAACTGAACCAACTCTTCAATAGCCGGAGGTAGATCATCAAATTTGTAATAGAATTTTAGGCGGTCCAGGTTATGGCAATTCTTAGATAGCATGTCATCTGCATGGTTGGACTCCAAGTGACTTAAACTTGGAAATCAATTCATTAAAAAAACAACTTGGAAATCAAGGTAAAGCAATTAACATTGTATAGCTTTATATTCATCTTCTTGCAGAGTAGTTCAACTTATCATTGCCCATTGCCTTTTAGTTTCTTGGTGATGTACAGCAGTACAGGTGTTTGGAAAATTTTCTCAATTTTCTTAGAAATATTTTTAAATATTTTTAACTAGTGACTACTGAGGATAGCCATTAGAAAACTGCATGGTTCTCCCTTGCTATCTGCTCTGTATATTGTCAAATAGTGTCCAGAAATTGTTGTTTTAATATGTGAAATTTGTATTCTTTGTATCTTTTCTTCCATACAAATTCTGCAGTTGGAGGCCTGTGCCCATCCCTTTTTCGACGACTTAAGAAACCCTAATACACGCTTGCCAAATGGAAACCCACTTCCTCCATTATTCAACTTTGCACCTCAAGGTGCGAGTTCTTGCTTCTTCTTCTTTTTTTAATTAAATTTCGCTTATTCTTATTCTCATCTTAATTTCGTTATGAAAATCTCTCTATAGAGGTTGAAGGTGCCTCTCCTGAATTAATCCAGCGCCTTATGCCTGAGGGTGTAAAAAAATAAATTATAGGGTGGTGATTTGGTCATGTTGATGGAAATGGGCAGCCTTTGAAGCCTCTATCCTCGAGTTTGAAACCAAAGAGGATTCAATGATGGTAATGAGATTGCACACATAAAAGCAATGCGCAGAGAGGGGTAACTTGTCAGACCAAGAAATATCTTGAGATGGCTGAAGACATGGGGAAGGTAGGATAATGTAATATTTCGTCATGGGTGTTTATTGTAATTACTGTGCAACCGTTTGAACAGCTTCCTTGGCTATTGCCTTGTTGTAGATTATCTTTTGTTGTCGAAGCTCCAACGCATGTTGCAATGGAGAAGTAAATCACGATGCCTTCTATGATTATTGAAATGTGGTGCTCTCGTTTTTTGCTTGGCTGAGTGTATGCAGATCTCAGTAAATAATGTTGTTTTTCTTCTTGTTTGGTCAGTGCTTTTGATATAAATCCCACATCCCAAACATATCTCAGTAAATAATGTTGTTTTTCTTCCTGTTTGATCTGTGCTTTTGATATAAATCCCACATCCCAAACATTTGTTAAGTGTCTGGTGTTGGTTCCGAGAATGCAAATAAGTCCATGCTGCAAAACTTCAATCTTTGAGCATTCGAAGGGGAAGTGAAACTAGCATATTGGAAGATCAATCGGCCAAAATAACCATGAGCGGCTACGATATTCTAAGTTTCTTCCTCTTGACCGAATCTGTACTCGTTTTCAGTGCTTTCCCTAATCAAACTAGAGGTAACCAAGGAATCATGCATAGTACTAAATGGGGAGCCGCCGTTTCCCTGATCAAACTAGAGGTAACTAAGGAACCATGCATAGCACTAAATGGGGGGCTGCCGAATACACCAGCTACGCCTAACATGTGAAATCAAGCGCTTTGACTTTGTCTCCCGGGTTGTACTGTAAAATTCAGTTCTGAGAAGAGAACATTGTATTTTGGAACTGTGTAGCTTTTCTTTAAAGTACACTTGTAGTAAGCTCACATGGTTGATGCCTAATTATAGTTGCTCTCCACCAACTTAATTAGTAGAGCCTAGTTTTCTTGAATAAATGAATTAAAGAGGAATTTCCTTGTTTCTATGTGTCGTGGTTGTCAATTGGAGAAGAAGGGGAAAGGTGGAAAGTAGAAAAGTGAGCTAGTTTTTCGTGAATATGAATTGAAAAGGTGGGAATTCGGCATGCATTTTAATCATGTAGAATATTACTGTTTTCACTTTTGATTTTTTAGACGCTAGATATCTTTACCATTTCACACTTTTTGTCTTCGATCGTAGCCTTAGTTGCTGGTCTAATGATTGTTACCTTATTATATCCCAATTTATATCCTCAAACAAGTACATGATCTATTTGGTTTTTGAGTTGGGCATCTATATATACAGGTAAAAGGGATATTACATATATCTTTCACGCATGTCTTTTTTTTTGGTAAATAAAAATTTTTATTCATCAACCAATATGAAAGAGTATGTACATCGAGAATCTCATCACATTTATGAGATAACAAAATTTTGTAACTAAAGCTAAAAAAAACTGTTTTGAGCATGAACATTGTATATTACTCTATCTGTGGATTTCTCAACAATGCACCACCTGAATTATGCATCACCAAGGCATCATGCAAATCCTGAAACCAAAATGCACCCTGCTATGCTTATAATGAAATCAACCAGTTTTTGCATCTCCAAGGTATCTTGCTGTTGAGTATAACTGACAGTAAATCCAGATGCACCACCAGATAGTGCACAACCTGAACAAATGCACCCTGCTATGCTTATAAGGAAATCAACCAGTTTTTGTATCTCCAAGGCATCTCACTGTTAAGAACAACTGACAATAAGTCCAATTTGATGCATTTGATGATTTTCTCAATAGTTTTGTATGTCTGCTTAAAAATCCTCCCATTATGTTCCAACCATATATTGTAAATAGAGGAGGTGAGAGTCATCCTTTTAACATTGATCTTGAAAGCCTTTCTCCTTTGGTTAGCTGCATACCAACTCATCAAAAGATTCCAATCACAACTTTTCCAATTGAATTGTAACCAGTTCATAACTCCATTCCAGATATCATTCGAAAACTTGCACTCAAAGAACATGTGATTTCGAGTTTCAGTTTCTAATCCTGCACATAACACACATTTGTTGATTTGAATGATCCCTCTGTTCTGCAGCTTATCTTGAGTTAGTAGTCTATCTTGGACTGCTAACCAAGAGATAAAAGAGTGCTTAGGGTAATTTAGATTCCCCCAAATTGTGATACTCCATGGCACTGGCACTCTGTTTGTAGTAGGAATTAAAGCATGATATAAATCTGACGGGATGATTTTTGAGCTCTTGCAACAGGAGTTAATTAAGCTAATTAGATTTTCCTCTCCTCCACAATAATCCAAAGCTTTGTTTCTGATTTTCAACAGCTACTTCCATAACCAGGAATCATTGTTTTTGATTTCTACCTGCCATACATTCATGTTCCTGAGATAGGTGCCATGGACCCATTTAACCCATAAAAGTTTTTTGTTGGTATGTATGTCCCATAGAGTCTTTAAAGCTGCAGCTTTGTTCCAAATGATTGAGGAAAAAATCCCCAGTCCACCATACTTTTTACCTGCTTAAACTCTTTCACGCATGTTGGAAGTACTTATTTCCCCTGTTTTATTTACATGACCGTATCCTATCCAACGTATTCCTCTGAGAGGGCGGATTGGGGTACACGATGAACTGCTCCTTAATTGCCATAACCGAGGGGTGGCCAGGTTCGATTGGATAAAAAGTAATTAACTTTGATTTTTTTTTTTAGGATTTGTACCGATTAATTTTGTTAATCTAACCCAGCATCCCGTTCCCACTACTACATTAAAAAGAATAATGCTAACTAGAAAACTTGAATTTGGACGGTAAATATGCAATCTATTCCTCTATACAAATACAAGAACCCAATATTCACTATTCATACCATAGTAAATACTACAGTAACATTTACTGTAGAATTATTACTGTAGCAAAACGGGGATGCCGTGGTGTTTTTTTAAAAAATATACTTTAGCACATGGAATACTGTAGCATTTTTGAAAAACTGTAGCAGGGACGGATACTGCAATAAATCAAATAATATTACTGTAGTATTTAAAAAGGGGATTACTGTAACAAAAAATAATGTACCGTATGTCGTGCTTTGCACGGTGTTCACACTAGTTTAGAGAAAAGAGAGAGCACTAAGGGTCTGTTTGTTTGCCAAAAAAAAGAGGAAATGGAACTTTTAGGACCTGACAGGAGCTCCCCGTCATATTTTGATTTCACCCCATTTTTATTTTTAGTGTTTGGTTCACTGAGGGTGTTAAGGAAATGGAGCTTAGAAATAGGGTGCCATGTTAAAATTTGAAGAAAACCCATTTCAGATCTGAAGTGACCGAAATGGGTGAGAAATATATTTAATAATGAATAAAATATTGTCTTGCTCACCTTTTCGAGACCCGAAGTGGCTAAAGTGGCTGAAATGTGTCAGATTTCTTGATTTTTAGATGTTGAAACAAATTAAAAATATAAATGAGAAACAATGTTTTATATCCTATGATTTCAAGACAAAACAAACCAAAAATTTTAAATCCGAGAAATCCTCTGAAATGCAATGAAATGAATTTCAGCATGGTTTTATGTTTTTTTTTTTTTTTTTTTTCCCCTAATATGAATCTACATTTTTGGGTTTTTTTTTTTTTTTTTTTTTTTTTTTCCCCTAATATGAATCTACATTTTTGGAAACCACGCTCAACGTGTAACCATGCAAATATTTAATAAGAATCTACCTTTTGGAAACCGCGCTCAACGTATCTTGAATGTATCTGGACGTCCAGAATTAAAGTTCTTAATTAAGCTAGTACAAAATATGAGAGATTAGATTTAAGGGTAAAGGTATAATCTAAGGGTTCTTCTCTTTTTTGACCCACAATATAACCAAATTAGAGCGGACGCATGAAAACGTTTTCCTTCCTCATCTCCTCACCAAACCAATAGGTGGAAACGTGTTCTCTTTGATAGGAAAGCAAATCTTACTCTTTACTAGGCAATCCGTCCACATTGATCCCCTAATCCATATTATATTTAATATATAGATCCCACTTTTTAAACTCTATCTCCTGACCCATTAATTTCGGCAAAAATATTAAATTGGTATATTTTGTTTACTCCTAGAGAGAGTTCTCACGTGATGCGAACGTGGCTGCCAGCGTGGCTTCCAGCATCATAAATGAACTCCAATCCTAAACCCTAACCCTTCAATCTCCTTCCTCCTCCACCTCTCCCTCTCCTCCCTCCTCCGTTCCTCTTGCCTCTCCGACGCCTCTCAGACCTTCAACCTCTTCAAATCCTCCCTCGACTCTCAATATGGTGAGGTTTAATACCTTGTTTTCTAGGTTTTTAGAGTGAAAGTGATGGTTTTGGATGAGATTAGTTGCAATTATTTATCACTAGGAGTCACGCATGCAACCACGTGAGGCGTCACGTGAAAACTTTCGCCAAAAATTTGAGTCCAGCCAAATTTGAGGCCCATTTATCGCCGGAGAACAAATAATATACTAATATGTTGCCAGTACATGTTTACAGGTTATCGATTCATTCAAGTAGAATTGAATTCCTTAACTTATGATACAATCCTAAGATATGATACAGTAACTATACTTATGATTAATATCTTAATATCACATCGACTTTATTCGTTGTAAAATTATTTTTGTTTAGAACTAGTGGATTTTGTTGTGTGTCCTACCTGAATAGAATTCGTGGATCCGCCGGTGGTTGTTACTTTAGGCTTTACAGCAATGCATGAGGATGAATACTGAGTGTTATATATATATGTGAAGAAAAAGATGAAATATATAAATCTTGTTTAAACTCATCACTGGTTTGTAAGCAATCTTTCATAGAATTGCATCCTTCCGCAGGAAAAAAAACTTCATCCCCCATCTCATGATCAACAACTCTATCATTTCGGATGAATCAGAGATGAAGAGGTCTTTCTTTGATTTCTTCTCTAATCTGTTCAAAAGTCAATCGGAATCCAAACTTAGGGTTGATTGGCAGTCCCTCTACCCTGATGGTAACATCGATCTTTCTTCCCTTGACCTCCCTTTCTCTCCGGAGGAAATCAAATCAGCGGTGTTTGAGCTCCATCCTGACAAGTCCCCAGGACCAGACGGTTTCCCCCTCCTGTTCTTTCACAGATTCTGGGACTCAATTGCAACGGATATTACATCCTTCTACCAAAATCTTTTCACCCACACTCAATCTCTTCATAATATTAATTATTCCTATATTTGTCTCATTCCCAAAAAAGAAGGGGCATGCTCTCCCAAAGACTTCAGACCTATTAGCTTGATA